ATGGTGGAGCTTACGATGCCTCTCTGTATTCTCTTATAATCTCCCAAAGAACTATAAGTACCCCGACTTTCCCACCTGCCATGTCTTGGATGTTATTATAATATGTTCTAATTTAATGTATCATTCATTGGGAGGGTTATTATATATATTTCGGGTTGTTTTTTTTGGTGTGTGTGTGTGTGTGTGTGTGTGTGTGTGTGTGTCCATTAGAAGTCCCGGTATTATAGAGGAAAACTTTACATGTCTTCTTGACTATCCACACATGCTCGCCAATATGTATATATATATTCATAGTCGTATGCAGATTAACACTTGTCTTTATTTTTATCCTTTATCATGCTATACAAACTTTCTTTATCTTTAAACAGAAGTGGTCCATTGATATCTCTTTTAACCTTATCAGTTGTATCAACTTTGTCATTCTATCTATATATTGTTCTTACATAACTACTAACAGTTCGGTCAGACTGAATATGGTAGTAGAAAACAAAGTCTCTTTATCTCTGGTTCATCTGTTTATTTCTTTTTGGGGTGGAATTTTCTCTTCAAACCCCATCGTATACTTTATCTTTATTCTGTCACTATAAGTGTGTACCTTCTATATTGTGCGTGCTTGAAGCCTTGAATCCTTGTGGTCAACACTCAGATGCCATCTCCAAGCTTGTGGGAGTGGGTCAATTCACTCTCTTCCTTTATTTTTTTTTGTTTACTGTTCAGGGTAACCACCAGCCGCATCCCGCAGTGTGCTTCTTTGGGGATCTGCCCCTCCTCCTCTGAGTTGTGCGCTCTCTGGCATCATGAGAAGTCCTGAGGTAAGCCTCTTATCTTCTGGGAAATCTTCTTTTACCCTCTTTTTCTCTTTCAGCCGCTCTCTCTTTTTTCTTTTGAGACTCCTGTCTCTTCTGTCTTTTTTTCTCCCAGAGCTTCTATCTTTATATGGTAATGACTCTGGAAGCGGCATTCTCCGACTCTATTCGCCATGTTGCTGTTTACTCTTTCACACAACATTACCATCATTACATCACTATTACATTATAATAACTGCCTGCTAAAAACTGGGGTGTCTGAGGTGTCTGGGAGAGGTAATATCTCCAGGGAAAGAATATATCTCACTCACCTGAGTGATTCTTCCTCTATTGGTCCTGACCAACACTCAACTCTCACTTATGGCTCCAAGGAGCTGTCTGCGTGTGACAGCAGCCACACCTTGGTAAACCACCTCGATGGTCAGACCAAACCACGTGAGGATACCTAGTTGGTCTTAGACCTCTGGGGTGATAGGGACAAGCCTATCCCTGCATGCAAAGTCTGACTCTGGCTGACTGGGCAGATGAGACCCTTGTATGGTCCAGTGGCCATGATGGTGTTACAGCACTGCACTGTGGATCACACAGAGCAGGACAAGGCACAAAAGATGTGCTGATAATGCATTGCATCTGGGCCAATCTCCAGCCATCTTGACACTGTCCTGCTGCTGGTTACTAATTGGCTGAGATGAGAGAGTGAGGCCAATGCTACACAACTCTTCCTCACTTAAATCTAAATCCCGCGTAACTCACATCCAGCACAAGCTCTTTGGTGATGGCCCAGTGACAATACAGCAGGTCTGAACACACTGGAAGCTGTAGCAAACAGGCAGCTCAGGACTTTGGGCTGCTTTCTACTGAACAGAAACAGCAGTAAAACTCGACAGCCCCCTGAGTGACAGAGCAGCCCTATTCAGGACCACACTGCTCACCTCCTAGAATGAGGAAGGGGCTAGAAAAGGTGCCCCAAACATTGTCTGCTTCACCTTACCCTACCCAGCATATTGCAGATGGCAGGGGTTCCATTATAGCAGTCAAAAAGGGAAGAAACCAATCCCTCTCAAGCTGGGCATGTGAAACATACATACATTGACCAATGGAAACACCAACAGACCTGAAAGCAGAACTGCCCTCATCGGGAGAGAACTGGGTAGATACAACTTCCAGATCACTGCCCTCAGTGAGACTTACCTACCTGACGAAGGGCAGCTTACAGAAGGAAAAGCTAGTTACATATTCTTCTGGAGCAGTCATGGCAGTGAAGCCAAATGGGAAGCAGGTGTTGGCTTTGCTATGAAAAACAGCCTCATCAAGAAGCTGACCTACCTGCCCAAGGGAGTGAATGACTGACTGATGGTGTTCAAGCTCTCTCTGCTTGACAAAAAGTGCACCACTATCATCAGTGCGTACAACTCCAACAAAGTCAAGAACCAGTTCTATGATGACCTCCACTCTGTGATCACAGCTATAATGAAATCTGACTGTCTCATCTTCCTTGGTAACTTCAACACCAGGATTGGCTCTGACTGCCAAGCATGGGATGGCATCATCGGGAAGCATGGGATCAGAAGTTGTAATAGCATGGTCTTCTCCTGCTCAGACTATGTGCTGAACATGAGCTCCTGGTTACTAACACTTTATTCCATCTCCCCAACCAGAAGAAAAGATTGGGGATGCATTCCCACTCCAAGCACTGGCATCTTATCGACTATGTCATCGTCCGAAGGAGGGACAGACATGATGTCCATGTAACCAAAACAGTGTTTGGCACTGAATGCTGGACTGATCATCGGCTCATCATCCCCTCACTAAAGATCACGATTCAAATTAGACAGCATCCTCAAGGATGAAGTGGACCAAAGCACCTCAATACTGCTGGGCTGATAAATTACAGCACCAGGCTGTCTTTTGTGAACCATCTGAAAGATCAGCTTCACAGTACACACTCTATTCCAGCTCCACTGAAGCCAACTGGAAGTGGTTTCATGAAGCTATACACTCTGCAGCTTTTGAGATCCTAGGACCAAGCATCCGCAGACACCAAGACTGGTTTGATGAAAATGATAAAGACATACAATGGCTGCTGGAAAAGAAACAATGTCTCCACAGAGCCTACCTCTATGATACGTCTGTGTCAGCACAACATGCCTACAGCTCGATATGGAAGACCATTCAATGCAAGTTGCGAGGGATTCAGGACACATGGCTGAGGAACAAATCAGATGAGATCCAGCATTATGTTTACCAAAACAAAATGAATAATTTCTTCAACACCCTAAAGGCTGTCCATGGTCCACAGGTCCTTGGATCCTCCCCCCTCTGCTGTCTGCCAATGGGACCGCACTGCTAACTGACAAGGCCCAGATCCTCCAGAGATGGGCTGAACACTTCAGCACCATCCTCAATTGGACCGTCTCCATCAACATGGATGCCATACTCAAGCTGCCTCAAATTATTGTCAACACCTCTCTTGAAGCTCCACCTACAATTGAGGAAGTCCAAAAGGCCATACAACAAATGTCTAGTGGCAAAGCTTGTGGAGCTGAAGTGATTCCAGTGGAGGTCTATAAATCAGGTGCTCATGACCTCATGGGGAAACTAACCAAGGTCTTCTGCAGTATGTGGGCACAGGAGGTAGTATCTCAAGAATTCAAGGATGCTTCCATCATCCACCTGTACAAGAAGAAGGGAAATTACCAACTCTGTTATAATCACAGGGGAACCTCCCTCCTCTCAACTGTGAGAGACCTCTACTTGTGAGAGACCTCTATCAATCAGCTAACTGACCATCTAAACAATCTACTGCCTGAGAGCCAACGCGGTTTCAGAAAAGGACACAGAACCACTGGCATGGTATTTGCAGCCCAGCAGTTTCAAGAAAAGTGCCGAGAACAGAACTTTGACCTTCTCATGATCATCAACCTAACTAAAGCTTTCAACACAGTGAACCATGAAGGCCTCTGGGAAATCATGAAGAAGTATGGCTACCCCAGAAAATTCATCAATATGGTTTGACAGTTCCACGATGGCATCCTTGTGAATGGCAAATGCTCTGACCCCTTTCCAGTCACAAACGGCATCAAGCAGGGCTGTGTGCTCACACCTATCCTCTTTAGCATGCTATTCTCTGCCATGCTGTCAGATGCCTTCCAAGACGATGACCTTGTATGGGGAGCAGGTACCATTCTGATGAAGACATATTCAACCCACACAGGCTCCAAGCGAGCTCTAAAGCCATGCTTTGCAACTTCCTCTGTGTTATGCACAAGCTCACAGGCTGACATGTAATGGTCCCTGGACCTATTCTTGTCAGCCTGTGACAACTTTGGACTCACTATTAATATGAAGAAGACTGAAGTGATGTTTCAACCTGCACCTGACACAAAATCCCGGTTGCATGGATCAATAGAGTCTATCAATATAACTGGTGAGAGCTTTTTCAGTGGGGTGGGTGGGAAAGACAAGACAAATAAGATAGAGAGGAACTTTTAGAAAAGCATATCCAAATGTGTTTCCAAATGAAGGAAAGGAGATTTAGAAGGCTGGGAAGTCAGGATGGAAGAATGTTAACACTTACTAGACCCTGATGGAGTATGGCATAGCTAGAGTGGGGAAATAAATGTGTTTGGGCTTTTCTATACTATTCCCAAACTTGATTGTTAAAAATAGAATTTTTTTTCTTGTTTATTCTGGGAAAATAATAGTTTAAATAACTTGAAGCACAACATGGGAATGTAGCAAGTTATAAGGTTACATCAAATGTATTTTGTATTGACACCTCCCATCAACATGGACCCCTCTTGATTACACTTACTTAATAATAGGGAGCAAAAAGATGCAAATTTCACCTAGTTTGTAAGTACTTAAGGCTGTTAAAAAAATAATGTAAAAAATGGATGTGATTTTCTTTTCATTTTTGCTAAGGACAGAAGCATGAATGGAGTTAAAATTGCCAAAGGTAATGTTACTTATGAGGTATCTGGTTCTCTTGCTGCAACAAATGTCATATGAAATGGGAAGAAAATGACACAGCTTTAGCAACATTCTAAGGGTGAAATACCTCTTATTAAGCTGTCTACAACATGTGGAATAAGTGAAATGTTTGACAAGGAAGAATATGTGTTAAACAACATTGTCTGACTGATCTTTAAGGCAAAATGGAAATTATATTTCTAAAGACAGTTGATGGGAAAATGTTCTTGTAAACAAAGATCTGTAGATCATGCCATTTCCTCTGTCATCCTTTTTCTCTTTTTTCTCTTCATTGCATGGTCCAATTATGTTTCTGGAGACAGATTCTTCAGATTCAAGCTTGTTGTAATTTCTAAGCAACACTGAGGAAGCAGGATTTTCCATCAGAACACCTACGGTAACAGCAACACAAAGATCAACTACTTATGGGAAAACAGAATATAATTAGGCCAATAGATGACAAGATACCACTGATTTGTGAAAGTAGAAATTATATGCTTAAAACAGCACCAATATTTAAAAACATTCACTTCTTCCTGGTAGTGGATCTAGTTTTTGCTCAATTTCTAAAAAAGAAACTTTTCCACCAAAGCCCTAGGAAGCAATGAAGCTTTAATTAAAGGATTAATTTGAGAAATGCTAAATAGTATAATTTATAAGTCAGGTGTTAGAACCTGTTATGGATTTGAAATTTCACTAATTACTTATTTTGATTTGTGATGTTCTTCAGACTCTGGTACATTTTCATTCATTAATATTATTGGATTTTTCAGTTATTTTCACTACTGTCAATCAGAGTGTTTTATTGGGCTGTTAAAGATTCTGGATCATTGTCAAGAGTAGTGTTGTCATAGATTAGACCTTTGTTTGCATCACACTATTTGGCAGCCTACATATTAAAGGAATCTATTTGCTATTCTATAGAGCTTGGTCCTTTGTAATATTCATTGCAGTGAATATATATCTATAGATTGTATTTTTTTAATTTGTTATTGTACATCTCACTATGCCAGGCGTCTTTGTATTTCTCTCTGAATATATGTAGGGTGTAGTCTCACCAATTTCAAGGCTCAGTCATGGTGAATAAGTGCCTGTTGGTTAGTTTTCTTATTCTTTAAACCATGGTAAAATTGAAAAAAAATATATATTTAACACGTCCTCAGGAATTATTTTCATTTCAACTGTCAGGGTTCAATGTAATAAGGCTGTAGTTAAGGACTTTTGCAGATTTTGACTAGCATCTTATTTTATAAATGGTTTGACTGATTACATAGTTTCATAGTTTTAGGGTCGGAAGGGACCTAATAGATCTTCTAGCCCGACCCCCCGCCAGGGCGGGAGAACAACAACAAAAAAACCCTAAAAACAAAAACAGGACTCAAATGAGTCCAGCCAGGTAGGTATCCAGCCTCTTCTTAAAGATCCCCAGGGTAGGGGCCAGCACCACCTCCCTTACAATAAGACAGGCAATATTACACCTTCTCACATTTCTATTTTTTATTTGGAAGAAAGAAAGTACAGAAAGGCATTTTGCAAGTACTTCTAATAGACTTTTATTTAATATTTATCCAGGAAGTATTTAAAAAAAATGTTTTTTTCTGTGTCATACCTTGAAAAAGATTATCCAGGTAACTAAGAAAGTGTCACAGCTGGAGTTTTTTAATTGGAAAATTTGTGTCTGCTAGTTTGTATGACCACTATCTATTTTCTAGAGCAATATTTTACTTTTCTCTAAAACAGCTCCTTCGGTACTGCATGTTTTCTCCTTTTTATCTAACTTTCCTTCTAAACTTCTAAAATATATTAGAAACCGCTATGCCTATTTTTCTGTTCCTTCAAATTACTTATTCACTTATCTATTCATAAGGCCAGACAGGAGCAGAGGAAGGAAACAAATTATAATAAAATGCTGGAAAGGTACCTGGGAAGGAAAGACTCCTAAGTAAATAGATCTGAAATTCTAGCACATTCTATTTGCATCTATTCTATCATATGAAATTTTAATGTGGAAGTTCAAGATGAGCATTAGTTTAATTCTTGTGCTTTATACTGAGATCAGAAGCAGAATTCTAAGTTGCATTTTATTGATATTTATGTGAGAAATGAGTGCTGTTTCTACAGATTGAGTGTAATGTCAAGATTTCTCATCTTTTGTCTACCTGATACACAAGTCACATGAACAGCATTTAATACCCCATTAGGATGATTTTACTACCTTCACTCAATGTGCACATCTATACATGCAATGAATGCAGAGCAATAAACGCTGATGCATATCATGCCACAATTTATTGCTTCTGAGCACCACATTTACAAGTGTGCTTGTGAGAGCAGCATACTGAGCTGAGTTGGAGCAGTCCTGGTTGGCAAGGAGTGGTGAGGAGGGGAGGGGAGGGTTAGCTTGCCAGCCCTGAGCTGCTCTGACCTGGCTCAGCATGCTGTGGAGGGGCTGACCTTTGTGCCCCAGACAGCTGCATCAGCATCTACATGTGCAGTGTGGTGCTGTGGAGTTTATTACTTTCCTTCAGCCTAACAGAGCTGCACATGGAGACACTGAGCTATTTACTGCAGAGCTACTTAGTTAATTCCGCAGTAAATGTGTTGTGTATATGCACCCAATGAAGACTAGTACCTGAGAAACTGCAGTGAAAAGCAACATTGCCATTTTATTATAGGTTAAGATCAGGATAGAACATGATCAACCTGCAGTTTCTGATGTTCCTGTCTGTTGCACTGATCCTCATCTTTCCAGATGACAGATCTGGAGAGATCTGCTAACTGAATCTATTTAGGGGGGAAAATAAATAGCTGTGGCCATTCTATCAGTTTTTCTTCCAAAAAGTGTCAACTATAGCACTCTAAATTTTCACTGCCACTTAACAGAAATCTTGTATTCATTTAGGATTTTTGTCATCAGGCTGGTGTGGGCTTTACAGCATAGAATAATATTCTCTGGCAAACTTTTATATTCATCCCTCTAAATATCTTCTGAAGAAATTCTTCTTGTGCTTATTTATATATTTAGCTTATTATTCACTGGCCAGCAACATAAATCTTGAAGAGGAAAACATAATCATATTCCCCAAAAGCAAGAAAACAAGATCAGTTCTATACTATTCATCCTAACTACTAAGAAAAATACAAATTACTTTTACCTCAACAATGTAAAGGAGGAAAGGAAATATTGACTGACTTCATTCAGCTATACAAACTGAAAAAAGTATATATGGCTTCATTGAAAATAAATGTTTAACTAAGGTACACCTATCTTATAGCTCAGGGTGTGTCTGAATAAGTGTTCACAAGACCTGTTTTAGGTTTAACTTATTTATTTAAGCCAGCTAAACCTAAACAAGGAGCAGTGCATGCAGTCCAAGGGAAGTAATGCCGTGGGGGTAGGGAGGCTGGAGAGCTTGAGGGGCTAATGAGGCAGGTGGGATGGAGGGTCTGCAGGAGTAGTTAGTGAGTCTGCAGTGGAGGGGGGGCTGGGAGCTAAAAATAGCCTAATCAGGGTTGGGAGAGGTAGGAACAATACAGCCCCAGGTCTGAGGAAAGCAGGTGGGCTTTCCCAATCCCAGGGCTATACTGTGAACAGGTACAGACATTCATTAGGCTGTGTTAACACAGGCTGATCTAAAGTTAGTTTACCTGTAAGTTGCACCATGTTTAGGGCAAACTAAGCCCTATGAACATGTACATGCCCTATGAACACCAAAACTGAAGGGGAAAACCCTGAAAGGAGAGCAGCTTACTTTCTCTACTTGAGCTTAGATAACAACTTTGGACACATAATGTGGAAAGGGGGAAACTAGAAAAATAGTTTTGATCATCATCCTCTGAGAGTGCAAGTAGTAACAGCAGTGCTAAGGTTGTGCCCTACATGGGATAAACATACCTAAAGGGATAAGGAAAGGGTTGTTCTCTGACCCTACATGGGCACTTATAATGGGGCCAGATTGTCCTTATACCAATTTCACTGAGAAATTTAAGAACAAGATATTGAGTGTAAGTCAATGTAAATGCATACTTTATGCAGTAGCATTGAAAGGTTAGTCCAAAGGGAAAAGGTGTTCCTGGTTTGAACACCAAAACATGATGATCATATTACAGTATTTTAAACGTCATTCTAACTCAGGGCAATTCATGAACTCACAAACCAACTCAGTGAGTTCCCTACCGGAATTCATGAGCACCTTATGACTCCCCATCTTAAACTGGCGAGGAGCCAATATGCCACTGTCATCAGTGCATATGCCCTAACTCTTGATGCTGCCAATGAAACCAAAGAGGAATTCTATACCAACCTGGACCAAGTCCTTTCTGATGTTCTGGAGGGAGATAGACTTATTCTTCTTGGTGGCTTCAAGACTAGAGTCAGAAGGGATTCTAACCTCTGGAACAGAATCAATCAGCAAGGAAGGAGTAGAAAGGTGAACTCCAGTGGCATCCTCCTCTTGATAAAATGCATGGAACATGGACTCACCATTGCCAGCACCCTGTTCTACCAAATAAACAGGCACAAGACATCATGGCAACACCCACAATATAAGCATCGGCGCCTAATTGACTATGTCATCATCTGTGCCCAGGATCACAAAGATGCCCACATTACTCAAGCAATGCTAGGAGCTGATGATTACTGGACTGATCACTGATTCATCAGTTCACTTATGTCACTTAAATGGGCTCCCAAACAATGTCTACAGCAGAAGCAATGCCAAAGGAAGATCAACACCACAGGACCCAAGGATCCAAGAAGCAAGATCTCTTCCATCAGTACCTCAACAAAATACTTGTGAATTCCAATCAACAACAATAACAGGATGTCAACAGTGTGTGGGGTGCCTTTGACGCCACTGTTATCAATACCTGTGAAGAGACACTTGGCTTCTCTATCAGGAAACATCAAGACTGGCTTGATAAGAGCAACCAGGAGTTCCAAGACTTGAGCGATTGCAAGTGCAAGACCTTTTGTGGTTGGGGAAATGATACCAACTCCAATCAAAAGAAACTGAATCTCTAACAAGCTAACACAGATGTCCAGAGGAGAACCTGTGATATGAAAAACAAATGGTGGTAAGACAAGGCTAAAGAGATTTAACAACTCACCCACATCCATGATACATGCAGTTTCTTCAGCACCGCCAAAACCATCTATGGTCTGAGCACTCCGGAACCAACCCCCTTGAGACCTAAGGATGGAGGAGACCTGATCATGGAAAAGCAAGTCATCAATGCCCATTGGAAGGAGCATTTTGAAGACATTTTCAAGAAGACTCTGCTATCTACAGATCTCTGCTGTTGATGTGAGTGTTCTCAACTGTATCCCACAACACCCAATCAGAGATGATTTTGGAATCCCTCCAACCTTGAATAGGTGAGGAAAGCCATC